GTATAGGCTTTTACTAGCCAGAAAGTGCTCTCGTCTAAATGCTTTAAGGGCTGTTTAGTCCTGATCCTCATATACTTGAAGAGTACCTCTGTGCAGAGCTCACACCTCTAGCAGTAAGATTTAGGCTTCTTGGTGTTGCCCCACTGTGGCTTAGGAAATAAGCAGTGCTTAAGCCAACACGGTTTAGGACAAGGAGTGGATTGAGTCTTAAATTGTAGAAGATTGAAAAGGGTCCTTTGGGATTACAGGTAGACTTCAAATTACAACTGGTCACACTGAAGTTACAACAGACTTCCCCAGAGTTACTTACAACCCGGTTTCAAAGTTCTGATGACTGCCCTTCCATGGTCACACAACTGCATTTTGGACACTTGGAAAGTGGCCCATATTTATGGACATTTACAGTGTCCTGCAGTCACATGCCCATAATTTATGATGTTTTTGCCAAAAAACAGCATTTAGTTCCAGTTTTTTGGCAAAAATGCCCCATGGTGAACAATGGGTTTACTTAATGACCATGGTGTTTGCTTAATGACCAGTACAAAAACAAAATTGTACGATCAAGTTAGTCACACGATGACCTGCTTTTACAACCATCATGATTCACAACAGTATTTGGCAGGCTCCGTTACAGTCATAAGTCGAGGACACCCTATATCTAGCTCAATCTCCTGTAACAGCATTCCAGGCAGGCAGCCATTAGTTCTTGCTTCCAAAACCAAGCGCCACTTACTGGAAAATGGAGGTATGATTCTATATAAAAGGGGTAGCAGTGTGAAAGATTTATTTCCCCAAATGTGATAGCAATAACAGTATAAATTATATTCTGACCTGGAGGAAAAATCACCCATATTAAATTGTGTCCCTCCTAGTACAACTTTTCTTACTGTGTGCTACAGTTGCACAAAAACAAAACCTTGATTTATACTGTAGGCTTAAGAAGAAAGATGAATTGCTGACAGTAAAACCAGCTCTCCCTGTCTCCAGTCGACGAGGGTATTATGTTTCAGAACAGGGCAAAATACATTGAATAGGTGCTTAAAAGTGTCCAGACTTAAGGGCCCTGTCTACCTCGCAACCTAGGCTGGTCTTGTGCCTTGCAAGTGGTTCAGTGCAATGAAATAACAAAGCAAGACATGAGTCTATTTTAAGAACTAAGAAAAATCCCTGCAGGTTTTTCTAAAGCAGCTAAGCCTAGTCCTTTTCAAGGTGTGGATGTCTTTAAGTTAGAATTAATCCACCTCCTGGTCTATCATCCTGCAGCAAAGGTAAATAACTTTATCGTGAAGCAGTAGCCATCGTGCCTCTAGCAATCTTTTTTCCCAACTGAAGCAAAAGAGACCGTGAAACGTGTTGGATTTTCAAATACAATCTCCTTCAGTAAGTGAGGCCAAGAAGAGGAGGAGGCAAGCAATAGATGCAGTGTTCAAGACACACACCCCTCCTCCCCCCCCCCACTTGTAGCAGACTGGTTTCTGTATATTAGTTTAGGGGCGAAGAAGTGACACCTCCATTGGCAATTCTGAGGTTAGAACTTTTGTCCTCCTCAGGTCTCCTCTCAACTTTCTTGATTCACTGAGAGGAAGGAACCAGCAGTCAAGTCTCCAGTATTGGCTCTTGAGAGGCTAGGCCTTCTTCATCGGTTAGAGCTCCTCCTGGCCCCCACGAGCCACAGATGCAGTAGCAGTAGATCAAGTAGCAAGTAGTCCTGCACACCGTCAGAGGGACTAGCGGTTGATGCCTGCAGAATGGAATTCATAAAAGTTAATATCTAGTGGGAAATGAGCCAACCCTTTGCTGCTCTTGGCTACTGAACTGCCATGAAGCTTCTGAGAAAGGAGTATGTCCCACTGGACAGACCCTACCATGATTGTTTTTCTGAGAAGTACAGTTCTGAGGGAGAATGCAGGTCAGGCTATTACAACAGTGTCCTCAAGTACACATACGCCCTATCCCCATTTTAAAATAATCTGCTTTGCTGATCAGCTCATTAGGAGGTACTTTATTGAGACTGAAGCCACAGGAGGATAATGACCTTGGATTTTGATGTACTAAATCAATACACTATAAAGAGCAAACAATGATTACAGGTTGTACAGAATCAGAAAGAAGCCCTCAAAAGAAATAGGCAATAACTTTTGTATAAGCAAAGAGGGCTGAAACATCCCTGGAGTCCTGAGAAGCAAGATGGTATTTGGAAGAGGCTTGGATAGGCTCCTCCCTAATTAAATAGATAAGAGGGAATAAAGTATAAGCAGGCTTGCAGGATTCTGTTATTACAGTCAATCTCAATAAAGTACAGTGCTGGGTTTTCTGCAGTTTGGTTCCTGATCTGGCCGCCCCCAAATTGCTAATTCATAGTAAAGCAGAAGCAGATAGGAGGAACACTGGGAGTTTTAGGTTACTGGATGATTTTCAGTGGACTAGCAAAGAGTTTCCAACTAATAGCTGCAGCAAGAAAATATTTTCTTTCTTCACACCTAAATTGATTTACATCTAAATTAGTTTATACCTAATTTTATTTATTTATTTATAATAAATAAAATATACATTAACAAACAAAACATTTAAGTAGTTAATTAAGTAATTATTAATTACAGCTTCCAGGAAATTAAGTATAGGGTTTTGTCAGACAGGTCTCTGGGATTTATCTTTCCAGATTCTGGAAGATGGAATTTTGGGTTTAAAAAATGAAGTGGAATTGAGCAACCTGACTTTGTTCTGCTTTAATGTCATTTTAGTGCTCCAGCAGAATAAACATAGTCCTAAAGCAAGTATAATGTGACAACTTGCAAGTATAAATCACCTATAATTACAGCTAGAGCCCTCAGAGAAAATCAGAGCACAGCTTCCAATCAACAATACTGGCAGCAGTCCTAGATTTTGCCTTAATTAAATGCATCACATAACTGCTGACTTCATTAAACCGTAAATCAAGGAGAAACTCTTAAGACTGACTGAGAAAGACATTTGTTACAGTACTCATAGTTTTAACTCTCTTTTGAACGCTGTGCTGGGATATAGAGTGAAAGCTTAAGGAAATTTACAAATTAAGGATGTCGGTAAAGAAAAGATTATGCTTAAGCAGCATTATCCATGCTTTTCCCTTCTACTTGAGAAAGTATGCATATTCCTAGAGAAATCCATAAAACTCTGCCCTTCTTCTTATCTCTAGGTCTAGAAGCCTTGACATTTTGGAAAGTAGAAGGACATATTGGGAATTGCCAGCTGAATCGTTACTAATAGACAAATTCTATATTCAAATCTATGCCAGCCAGCTGAGTGCACAACTACAGCTAGCTTTGGGTTTGTGGCAACAGCAAGAAATCAAAGTCAAAGGCTCAGTCAGGCTCATTCTAAATCAAGCACAATGGAGCAAGGCAAGAAAAGGCAAATTGGTTGGGGCAGCTTATATGCACATGGCCAAATTGTCACGATAACCCTTACAGCTAAAATGATGCAGCTTTCCTAAAAGAATTAGGCTTTATTTATTTTATTTTTTCCTTGTGGGATTCCTACTTCACAGCCAAGAGATAGCCAAGACTGTCCAGAGCTATGCAATACAAGAGGCACTTATGCACCAAGCATTAATGGGAATTTCCAGGGCTTTTTTTTTGTCATAGAACGCCCAGAACGAAGTTCCAGCCCCTTTTTTGGATGGAACCTTGTAGCGTAGGCAAGGCGGGTTGTATGACATGTGTGAGTTCTGGCACCTTTTTTTTTTTTTTTTACAAAAAAAAGCACTGGGAATTTCAAGGAAGACGGTGGAAGGTTCCATGGCTTCTTTTCCTAACTGTAACATTGCCATGATCACTTCACCCCAAGTCCCCCATCGCATCCGATCTATTGCAGGCATTCATTCTCAGCTGGCCTTCCACCAGCACTCCTCTCTTACCACTTGTCCCCCATCCTTCCCCCCACTGCGTGGCCATGGTGATTCACCTAGGGCAGGGGTGGGCAACCTTGGCTCTTTTATGACTCGTGGACCTCAACTCCCAGAATTCCTGAGTCAGTTATGCTGACTCAAGAATTCTGGGAGTTGAAGTCCACGAGTCATAAAAGAGCCAAGGTTGCCTACCCCTGACCTAGGGACACTTATTCGCCCAAGGCCACTGGAGAGGCAGAGGCTCATCCCTCAGCGTGTGGATCAGACGGCAGATAACTGTCCCAGGCCATGAATCATCCAGGGATAAGTGTCCCTGGGCGAATAGACTGTGGCCACGCAGTGAGGAGAGGACGGGGGACCAATGGCAGGGAAGGAGTGCTGGCAGAAGGTCAGCTGAGAATGAATGCTCACAATAGGTCAACTGCGATTGGGGACCCTGGGTGAAGTGGGCATACGGCAATTGTCCCAGACCCCTTTGTTACTGAGTATTCATTGTGCACTGCTAGAAATGGATATAATTTATTAGTACTAGGTAAAAATAAAGAAATTCTCTCTCTCTCTCTCTCTCTCTCTCTCACACACACACACACACACACACACAGAGAGAGCTTTCCTGATACATGCTGCTTGGGTTGTTGCCTGGAGCAGAACAATCCAAAACCCTTAATTATCTCTTTTGCCACAAAACCCTGTATTCACTGTGTATTAACGCAATCATCAAATGAATACAAAAACCACAAGGCTAAAAGAAAAGCAACTGAACTTAAAAGCTTGCATTTAATTTTGTTATCCTTCTGTTATCATAAAATTAGAAGATGAGATTCTGTCTTTTTGAATTCCCCCCCCCCCCCAAAAAAAAATATTTCTACATTGCTCCTATAACTCTGCTGCACCGGCCTTCCTTCCAAGCCAGGAGTATGGTGCTAGGTGGAGTAGACATACAGACCTGGCTTGATCAGATGGACATGAGAAACCCAGCAGCAAGTTAAAAAATGAACAGCAGCAGCAGCAGCAGGAAACAGGCTGGAGAGGCCAAGGCCTGGGGCCTACCTGAGCTGGAGAGAAGTGGAGGAAATGGAGGGTGCAAATGGAAGAAGGATGGAGCGTCGACCAGCTAAGAGTTTAGGGCATCGATACCTGCAGGTGTGAGCACCAAGGCTTGGAGAATGTCAGAGAGGGACACGATCCCCCGCGGAGTGTTCTTCTTATCCACCAGAACCAGGCGATGGACCTACCCAATGAGTGAGCCGAACACCATCAAGGCAAAAGTAGGAACAGGACGGTAAAGATGAGTTTTAGATACCAGACAGAAAAGATACCATTCACAGAAGTGAAATTACAGTGTTTAGCACAGTCTGCTTAGGAATTAAGAGCGTTCTGTGGGAAAGGTAGGTGGAAAGTATATAGAAACAAATATGGTGGGGCCTCAGGTAGGCCTTATTGCATCGCTGTCATCTCCAATGGCCTGGAAAAGAGCAGATGCCCTGGCCAAAAGAAAGCAAGGAGTGCTCTTTCTAAGCCAAGTTGTAAGGTTAACAATTACACTTTTTTTAAAAAAAAAAAATGTTGTCCCTGTGTGAAGGAGTTCCTGAAACATCATCCCATGTTTTCTTATATTGCTCTCATTATAAGGATCCCAGCTAGAGCTAATATAGGTAGTGGTTGACTTACAACCATTCGTTTATGACCGTTCAAAGTTACAACGGCACTGAAAAAAGTGACTTATGACTGTTTTCACACTTGCGACCGTTGCGGCATCCTCATGGTCACGTGATCAAAATCCAGACTGTTGACAACTGGCTCATATTTGTGACAATTGCAGTGTCCCAGGGTCACGTGATTGGCTTTTGCGAGCTTCTGACAAACAAAGTCAATGGGGAAGCCAGATTTACTTAACAATGTTACTAACTTAACTGTAATGATCCACTTAACAACTGTGGCAAGAAAGGTGGTAAAATGGGCCAATGTCCCAGGGTCATGTGATCACCTTTTATGATCTTCTGACAAGCGAAGTCAATGGATAAGTCAGATTCACTTAACTGTACTACTAATTGTAGTGATCACTTAACAACTGTGGCGAGAAAAGTCATAAAATAGGGCAGTGGTGGCGAACCTTTTAGAGACCGAGTGCCCAAACTGCAACCCAAAACCCACTTATGTATCGTCAGGTGCCGGGTGGGCATGGCCGAGTGGGTGGGTGTGGTCCCTTGAGTGGGCGTGGCCCATTGGGTGTGCGTGGCTTCGGTGGTAACGGCAGACTGGGTGGGACTAAAAAGTTCAATCAATTCCAACTTTGCAAGATCTTTTTTTTTCCCGCGAGAAGTTGAAATTGACTGATTGAACCTTTTTTTTTTTTTGCACACAGCGGTGGAGGCCTAAAGCAAAAAGGTTTTATAAAACCCAGCTGAAGGCCTAGGACTGGGGTGACGGTGCGTATGCCCATAGAGAGGGTTCTGAGTGCCGCCTCTGGCACCCGTGCCATAGGTTCGCCACCACTGAAATAGGGCAAAACTCACTTAATAGCTGTCTTGCTTAATAACAGAAATTTTGGGCTCAATTGTGGCCATAAGTTAAGGACTACCTGTAATTTCCCATCTAGACAAACCTCTGGATCCATTTTATTTATAGGTTGCTCTCCCATCAAGGATATTTTATTTGTTTTAAAGGGGCTATGTTTTGTTTTATTATTTGTAAAACACACACATTTTGTCACCAATTTTATAACAAGGTTTTACTGTGGTTTTTATTTCCTTTCTCATAATTTGTTTTCTTTTTCAGCTGCTCAGTGTCTATAATAAAGCACTACCACTACTTAAAAGGATGTTCATAGAGGATTGTAAATAATAGTGGTAATAATCAGATGCTTTCACCATATGAGCTTGTATTTGCCATAGCATCTTGCTATATTGTGTATTTGCAACCAATTGTTATTATTAGTTGTTAAATTTATTTGCTGCCTATCTCACCAGGGGACTACTCTAGATGGCTTATAATAATAATAACACCTGTCTATTCCAGGTACTTAAGAAGGATTCAATAGGGAGATAAAATGCAAAATTCAGTCTAAACATCTGACTGACTGCTACCAACCATAATAATAATGCCATAATTTGCATTTTTATGCTTAAATCTTCTTCAGCTGCCAGGAAAGAAAAACAAAAGCTAGAAGTCCAGATATTACAAAAGTTGTCCACACTGGATTAAGAATGTAAAATAAAGATCCATCTGCAGCACCCAAAACACACCCATACATTCTACTGTTTGTAGTCTTTTCCATATGAAAAACAGCTGGCTGGGTGAGCCTAGGATGCTTCTGGAACACCTGTCAATAAAAGTCAGGGGATAGGTGGCAGGATGGTTGGATTAAAACCATACATCAGCCATGACCTAGTAAGCAAAAGGCTTTGGATCTGAAGGACACACATATTGAGGACATTTGGGGAAAGAAGGACATGAATTTACCCAACCCACTGCCCACTCCTGTCTACAATCCTGGAGCCATACCTGTTCTTTGGCAATGCGATCAATGATCTCTTCTAATGTTTCATGGGGATAGCATGTAAGGACCCCTTCTAGGCAGACGGAGCGCTGTTTCAGGGCTTCCCCCACACTAATGTCCAGGTTGTTGTAAGACTTCTGGGCAGCCAAATGCTATGGAGAGCAAGTGGAGAGGAGGAGTTTGAAGGAAAGAGGAAGTAGGGTACTACGGCATTATGGCCACCATGATCTCTCACTGTTAAGCTGAGAGAACACTGAGAGGCACTTTGAATTCTTTGAAGCAAGGCCTTAGCATAATCACCTCATAGTGACACACTAATTCACTGATAGGATAGGTCACATTGAACCATGATTTGCTTAACTATAATTTATTACACAAATTATGATTGGCTGGGCTTCTAACATTTTATGTCACGCCTGACAGCTTTCTGACTTCAATGGCTGGGTTCATCTAATATGATAAGGCAAAATGAAACTAAAAACAATATGTTCTAGTGTGATAAGTAAACCCAGTTGTATATAACAAATTTTCTATGGAAACAAAACTGCCCTAGTAAAAGGATTCATCTAGATCAGGGGTGTCAAACTGCCAGCCTGCAGGCCGGATGCGTCATGGTGAAACCGTGCCCACCCCATTGCTGGCAATGGCAAAAAAGTCACGATACGTCGCGACATGTCACGTGACGTTGCGAGTTTGATACCCCTGATCTAGATCACTGTAGAATTCCATGAATGAGATAGACAATAATAAAAGCCTCATCTGGAGGCATTGTCCTTACACTGCTTCTCTAAAATGCATGAGTTAAAGGCTGTTTCCTATCTTAAAGGTGAACAACATACCTTTCTTATACCATCGGTTAAGAATTGCTGTTTCCCCATCACATAAACATACACATTTTGTTTTGTATGTGAACTCTTGTAGAGTAGTCCTCCTTGGTGTATTTATCCAAAAACTTTGTTCCCAAATAATTTATCTTTAAAATAACAGTTATCTTAGGATTGGGGATTTTTTGCAAAAAAAAAAATAGGTAAAGATCTGTTTGTTTTTTATTTCCCCCCTCCCTTGGATATGGGGCAAATCTTAAATCTGGGAATGACTTTCTTTAAATACAGCACTTCTGTTTATTAGATCATCTGAACCTGAAAGAATAACTGCCCCATACTTACAATCACATCGAAGCGAGAATAGAGGCCAACTACTGCTCCTGTATAAAAAACAGAAAGGAACAGCAGGTCGGGAATCTCTCCAGGTGTAATGAATTAAAGATTACAATGCATGAAAGTTATCACAGAAAAGGTTAACAGATTTTCCTGCAACAAACCTGACAATGAACATGCTTTCACAATTTCATCATGAATTTCCAGGCCTGCCTTACAGCTTGAAGCTAAGAATGGAAAATTAACATTACCAATTTAACCAAGTTATCTCTACTGTATATAGGTATTTTATGAATGAATTCCCTTTTTCAGTATTTGCCAAAGAGGATCTTAGCAACTATTAACAGAGTTAAGGATTGATTTAGCATAAAACAGAGTTAAATTAGATGCATATTCATTAAAATATCGTTGTGCATCTTATTAATCACCATCATCCCAAAACGTTGGAGTTTTTTGAAATTCTGTCATAAAATGACAAAATATCTTTATTTACCTGATAATGTCAGCATTTACAGGGGACAACTTTATTTTTTATGGTATTAAAAGAACAAAAGATTGTTCTGAAATACCTCTATCTTAAAAGTGATAAGCTTGAATCGAGACCGGTGAATGGCAAGCCCCGTGGGGCTTCACATAAGGCTTCAGTCATATATCTGAGAAGACCTATTGAACTAACTGGACTTATTTTAAGCATGGATCCACAGGGTTATTCATTTTTTTTATTTGTATCCTGCTTTTATTATTTTTTTACAAATAATTCAAGGCAGTGAATATATCCAACACACCTTCTTTCTCCTACTGTCTCTACAACAATCTCCCTGCAAGATGGGTTGGGCTGAGAGAAAAAGACTGGCCCAAAGTCACCCAGCCAGCTTTCATGACTTGAATTCAAGATCTCCTTCTTTCTAGACTGGTGCTTTAATCACTAAACCAAACTGGCTCTCATTTATGTTGTGAATTAGCACAAAGTTCTAGCATGCCTCTTTGTAGCAATTTAGTCTGCAACTGGATATCCTGAAGACAGCATCATCACTCATAGGAAGCAAAGGCATAACAAAATGTGATAATACTGGGAAGTTAATATCAAAGGAGAGCAGCCCAAATATAAATCAGCAACAAATTGGAGAGCGCCAGAAATACAGTATAATACTGTACTGAGAGGAGGAAGAAAAGAGGAGATGGACCTAGGCCAGAAAAATAGATTGTAACAAGCATGCTGACTTAGACATGTGCAATAATAAAATATTGGCTAGCTAAGCCTCATAACTATGACAACTCAAATGTAAACCTGCTGTCATAATTGTGGAGGCAGCAAAAAGAGGAAATTATTCAGCTTCTGAATGGTTGGAGAACTGACCATCATAGTTATCCTGGCTTATGACAACACAGATCATTTCTCCAAGAATATGGCTATCAGCTTCAGGGGCTTGTATGAGCCGAAGGTGAACACCTTCCCCAAAGAGCTAAGGTTCTTAGCCATGATTAGAGTCGCCCACTTGGGAATGACAGGGTTTGTACTTAGCACCTCTGGAGGGAGCCAAGTTGGATAAGGTCAATTTACATAATTTCATGAGGCACCTATAGTTACTTTTCTCATTTAGGGATAGAAAACTCTCAAGTTCCAATGATTCTGGGGTACTAGTGGGGGTAACTGCAGAACTGCTAACTGTAATATTTTAATCCAGAATTGTTCCACTCTACTCTGCCTTAGGCAGACCCCACTTGGAATACCATGTCCAGTTTGGAGCATTGAAGCACTCTAAAAGGACATCAACAAACCCCAATAAGTTCAGAGAAGGGCTACCAAGATGGTGACAGGAGTAGAAAGTAAGTCCTATGAGGCCACTTAAAGAAAGTGGATATGTTTAGAGAAAATTGAGAGGAGATATGATATCAGTCTTCCAAATATTTAAATGGCTGTCATACAGAGGAGGGAGTAGGTCTTGTATTTGTCGCCCCATAGGGCAGGAATAGAACCAATGCATTGAAACTATAGAAATGTAAAATTAGGTTACTGTTATTAGGAGAAATTTCTTGCTAATAACCCTAGTAAGCGTGGTCAACTGGTAGAATAGAATGCCTCATGAAGTGAAATATTTCCCATACTAGAAGTCTTTAAACAGAGGCTGGGTAGCCATCCATGTTGAAAGGCTTTAACAGATTTGGACTAGATTTTCCTCTGAGGTACTTTTCAACTTTATGATTCTGTAAAAAGAAAGAGCTGCATTAGCTGCGCTTAAGCATGTGAGAAAGTGGGTCAGAGTTGAAATTGGCATTGCAAAGAGAAGATAAGCAGCCAGAGATTTCTCCCACACCTTTTTCATTAACCACAGGTAGCGCCGAGACTCTGCGATCTACAAAAATCTCCAGAGCTGTATAGACAGGAGCTGAATCTAAGACTATTGCAATGTCACGAAAGGTACCAATGCCCAGCTCGTGGATGGTTTTCTGCAGGAAACGTGGCTTTGGAAGCATGGCTCCCTACAATGAGAAAAAGAGAAGATTATTGTGGAAGCCAGCTCCATCCTTCTTTGCTCACGATGGAGGCACATAGATACAAATGCTTAAAGAAGCAGCAGAGGTCTAGGACAAAAGCATTAATATGCAATATGGATTAACATCTCTTACCACAAGCTTTCAGTCTAAGCATTTCTCTGAATCCAAAAAGCTGCTAAAAGTCAAATTCCCCTGATGTTCTCATTAGCATATAGCAATCTCAGGTATCTTGTTGAGGTCTGCACTTGGAAGCCACTGTTTTAATTCCCACAATGCTCCTGAGTCAGAGTCAGTCTTTGAACAAATGGAAGTTTATGGTGGCAGTTTGTAGCTAACTACATCTGATTCAGAGCAATGATATCTCCAAGGAAGCCTGCAGGATCAACCAGCATAGGAGAGAAAGACACCAAAATAGGAGGGGGTTCATCAAAAGGCAGTAATATTTGCTCTTCCAATATGTCTCCAGATTATTTGCCTAAATAATTCTTCTCCAATGATCATCAACCCAGGTTTTATTTTCCTGGGCCAAAGGGTATGTAGATCTACTTCTGAATCCTTATTCTGCAGCTTCACTGATTGCTTCAGTGACACCCCACTTATTTCTATTGTTCTTCTTCCAAAACATTAGCTTTCTTATAATGAGTTCTCCTAGCTTGATCAAATTCCCTTCAGAGATTAAAATAAAGAAAGACAAAGAATTAATTGGGTCTGGGGAAGAAAAAGAACTCTTTGACCAAGGGTATCCAACCTTGGCAACTTTAAGGCTTGTGGGCTTCAACTCTCAGAATTTCCCAGCCAGCATGACTGGCTGGGGAATTCTGGGAGTTGAAGTCCACAAGTCTTAAAGTTGCCAGGTTTGGACACATCTTTCACAGAAATCATGAAGAGGAACGACCCATCTACAATGCCTTGCCTACAATCCCTAGCATCTTTTCCTATTTCAAATTGTGAACATCTTGAGGGCAGGAAGAGATTTGTGTGCCCGTTTTTGAGCTCAGCCCCCCCAAAACCTTTCTCTCAACATTTTAAAAGCACCATGAGCATTGCCAGTGCATGTTGACAAACAAATCCTTAAGGAAAGAATTCAGCAGAGCCATCACACAGCAGCAGCACTCCAGGCTTCCTAGACCTTCCCAGCACTCACAAAGATATGCAGAAATTTGAGGATGCGCTTGTGGGTCAGGATGTGCAGGACATTCCCCGAGATGGGATCAATCACAGGCAGCCGGTGGATCTTATTCTTAATCAAGGAATAAACTGCATCAAAGAGGCTAGAAGAGAGAGAAAGGAGAGACAAGAAAAGGCCTTGTGATGTTCCTGGGGGGATGGGGATGGGCTTGGAAACTTCCTCATCTCTGGCATTCAGGAGTATGGGCAGGCTTGCTTCAGGATGGAGGAGTACATGAAGGAATACAGCTAAGTTATTCCCTGTTATGGAAAGAGGCTTGGAGTACAGATAGTCCTTGACTCACAACCATTCGTTTAGCGACCATTCAAAGTTACAACTGCACTCAAAAAAAGTGACATATGACTGGCCCTCGCACTGTTGCAGCATCCCCACGGCCACATGATCAAAATTTGGGTGCTTGACAACCGGCCTTTATTTTCAATGGCCGCATCATCCTGGGGCCATGTGATCACCATTTGTGACCTTCCCAGCTGGCTTCCAATAAGCAAAGTTAACAGGAGAAGTTGGAGTTACTTAATGACTGCATGACCCATTTATTAACTGTGGCCAAAAAATATATATATCATAAAGTTTGGATGAAACTCACTCAACTATTGCCTCACTTAGCCATGGAAATTCTGATCCCAGCTGTGGTTGTAAGTTAGGGACTTTCAACTAGGCAGAAATAAATCCTTTTGGGTTAAGAGATGATGGGTAAAGCATCATTTTTTTCTGCTTGTTATCAGCTGATTAAAGCTATAAAGTAACATGGATTCTACTGGGGTACCTCTGACTCTCCTTATGGGGGTTCAGATATCCCACTTTATCAGACGTCTTTCTGATTTCTCTTTGACAGTCACAAAATGACAAGGGTTTTGTGAAGCTTTTTGCATTAGGTGGTGGGAATGAAGGTTGACAAATCTCTTACAAAAAGGATGCTTTCTTGCTCTTGGGAAATGCTTGCCTTACCTTTGGTTTGGAGAAATGTGCACCAAAGGCTTGAAGGAACCCTGCAAATACACCTCTGGAGAGAAAGGGAGACAGTTGGATAGCATATAATTAATGGATGTGTAAATAACTGCAGTTGATAATGTAATAAGGGCAAATTCTATCAACAATAAAAGCTGAGTTTGCCAAATTGCCTTAGTTTATGTGCTTGTATAATTTCTTTATCTTTCAAAAAAAGAATTTAGGATAATAACAGACCAGCACTAGTAGCCTGAAATAACCTCTGGAGAATAATAAAAACTAGACTGTAAGGCCAGCATAGAAAAAGTGAAAGAAGTGTATAGATATAGCATGAAAGAACTAATAGCAATAGCAGTTAGACTTATATACCGCTTCACAGTGCTTTAAAGCCCTCTCTAAGCGGTTTACAGAGTCAGCCTATTGTCCCCCAACAATCTGGGTCCTCATTTTACCGACCTCAGAAGGATGGAAGGTTTCTGTTTTAAATTTTTTTATTAATTTCAAAATAACCCCCCATACAAATATAAACATACATTGATACGACTTCAGTATTATTAATTTTAACATTCAAACGTAAACATACATTAGTATTACAAAGCAGCCCGGCAACACCCCCTCCCTGCGTCCACCCTCTTTTCTCCTCCAATCTTGAGCCAATCTTGAGCCAATGAGAATAGAATGAATAATCATTATAATTATCAATATACAGCCAAATAATATTTATCATTAGCAACCATTTGCTTAGTAAAAGAATATTGGACAATTAGCTCTCAGTTTAAAGAGTGGTTTTAATCTAACATTTAATCTAACATGCATGTAAATCGACATAAATGTATCATTCACATATGCAATGATGTTAACTAATGTTAAAAATGTTAAACTGCATTTATGATATCCAATTTCTCTTAGGGGGTACGCTGCTTACCTCTCCAAGTTTCAATTTTGTGTCCCTCAATCTCGTATATCTGAACCTGGAACAAAGTAATAGTAGTGAATAGGACAGATACCATTGCTGATCGTGTGAGTTTACAATCACTACTATTTGCTATTACTGAATTAGGAAGAAATAATGGATTCAGAAACCATCCATTATTCTTCAGGGCTCCAGTCTGGAACAGTGGAAATAACTCAATCCGGTTCCTATCACTCCAAAGATAATTCATTCCAAACTCAGGGCTTCCAGAGTAAGCTTGGGGAAAAAGGAAAAAAAACTCAGAGCTTACCTACCTTCGGTTTAGTATGGGAAAAACACAGATAGATGTTTCACCAGAATTTAGAATGATGATCTTGCTAGACAAGGCAGATCTTCGTAAATGGAAGATGTATGTCAAATTTCATCATGCAGAGTTTTGAGCTGCATACTTTTTAAGATGTGATTTTTTTTAAAAAAAGTGACTGTTGTTTTGGGATAGACTGTGAAGAAACTTTCAGCAAGAAGAACCTCTGTAATGGGAAGTACCTTTTCTAAGCTTTAGACTGATCTTACAATTCTGCAGGAGAAGAAACTGGATGATAGTGAGGAGGAGCAAATTATATCACTAAGCATCCCTCGTTTCCAAGTTTTTTTCCCCAGCTCCAAAAATACTGAGATTGGTGCGAACAATATTTGAGTGCCAAATATTTGATGACTGTCTCATAATATGCATTTGCTTTCTGTTGCTTCAAGTGATCTGACCAACAGGTTTCAAATTTTAAGATACGTATTTCAGAATATTTAAAGCATAAATATTAAAGAGAACGCCTCAAAAGTATGAGTTACTTGGAACACACTGTTTGAGAGCAAGAAGGACCCTCATTTTTTTAAGCCAGCCATTCAGTACTGGCTTCTTGGGCTTATGGAAGTGGGATGGATTGGATAACCTTCAAAGGCCCTTCCTGTTCACCTGAATGAGAACCCAACAGTGTGACTTCACATTGTTCTTGGAAATGGCTCTATGGCTAGCTGATATGAAAAGACAAATAGGTTGACTCTCAATAAATATGTTGAGTAGACATGTATTATATAATTATAAATTTTTCCCCCAAGTTCCGTTTCTAAAGCGTTTAGGAACACTTCAGATTTTTCTAAAACATTTATTTTTAAACACACTAATATTTCACTAACAGTTGTATTTACCATGTCAATGAATATTTATTCTAAAAACTGCTCATAGGCCAATGAAAAACAATTTGTGCTGTGTCCATTTTCAAACTTTTTTGTTCACCTACCCATTTTTCCAGCTGAAAGGCTCAACTCTTAGAATCCCAAATCTGGAACAGCTCATGCCTGCAACTTAATTTTAGGTGGTTCTCCCAATTTGTTTCCTCTCTTCTTCTCTCCAGTCCCCTGAAAGAAACTGTCTAAAGCCACTTTTCTCCAGATTTGAGAAGATGAAAACTCACCAGAGGGGATCGATAATAGCGATGTAAGATATTAATAAAATCAGTGATGGTCAGCATCCCTGCAGGAGAGGAGGTAAGAGAAGGAATGAATGACACTTATACACACCCAGCGGTTGCAGGAAATGGGCTACAGGCTACAAGCTGCAGGAATTAACAAAACCTACATTACGTGTGGCTTCTTATAGTCAATAATGCCCCCTTCCCTTGCTGATTTCCACATCTCTACACTCCCATTGATTTATCCCTTCCTGCTGCCATTAGTATGGAGTGCTATCCATTTTTCCTATCCCATAGCCGCTAGCCATCAAAGCGGTAGGGTAGGGGAAGAGTTTGAATGATCTAACTAGAGATATGTTAGAACTCACAGGTCACAAGTTGCACATGGGCCCCTGGGACCCATGATTGAAATTTGGGAACAAAACACAAATTTGGCAACTTATTCTTTCTTATATCTATTGAAATAAAATAAGTGTATCCAGTTTTCTCTAGACTTGACAGACCTATTTTGTTGAGCAAGTATCTTGCTTCCTTTCCACCCCATAGTTTTGTAAATACTACATTTGCAATCTTTTAAATAAATGTGTGTGTGTATTTAAAATGTTGCTTGGTCCTACCTTAACTGAAGCAGGCACCAATGCATGAGGCAACAAAATGGACCCAAAATATTAAAGTTGATATTTTAAAGGCTTAAAGGTGCAATTCAAAGTATTGGTGATCACCTTTAAAGCCCTTCATGGCATGGGTCCAGGTTACTTGAGAGACCGTCTCACCCTACTGGGATTGGCCCATTCCACTCATGCCGGCAGAGGAGGCGTGTTGTGAGTACTGTCAGCCCGATTGTTCCGGCTGGCAAGATCCAGGAGGAGGGCCTTCTCTGCTGTTGCTCCTGCCCTCTGAAACATCTTGCCCCTCTCCAATGTGAGGTTGGCCCCAACCCTCCTATCTTTTTGTAAGGGGCCTAAAGACGGGGAGGAACAGCACAATGGGGGTGGTTGATTGAGTAATAACAGATCCTACCTCCCCTCCACTCTGCCCCCCGTCCTCCCCACGTGTCCTTGGTTTTAATGCCTGATTTGAACTTTTTATATTTTAGCCTCCCAGAATTACCCTATGGTAAGATGGGTGGCCAATAAATTTTATAAATAAATAATAAAACAGTAACGTTTTATAAATAAAATTATCCACAAGTTGGCAGTAAGGTGAAATTACAATGTGATTTATAGCTCTCTCAAAGGAAAGTGCTACAGTGAAAGTAAGCATCTAAAACCGCCTGCTCCAGTTCCAGGAAAAATGTGTCCAAATATGTCCAGAGCCAGTTCATGTACCGTAATCAGTTTCCTTCTAAGGAAGACAGAATTATTCTTTTTACAAATATGACTGTGAATGGTAGGTTCCTGTGCATTTGATTTCACGCTGGATTTACTGATGGGATTACCAGGGAGGCTGCATGTTGTTTTACACGAGGTCAGTGCTGCCAGCGCTACCTCTAAAAGAAAAACATTTGTACAGGGAAGGCGTGTAATCTCTCTGGCAGCCATAGCACAAATAATCACAGTGAGGAAAAGCCCAGCGGCCAGATGGGTACGAGTGGTTCTGCAGTAGGCCAACTATTGCTCAACAGATCTCTGAAGGTTCCTTCTCCATAAACCATGGGTTATGTGGATGAGTGATCTGATGCCAGCTTAAGAAGGAAAACACTATGTTCATGCCTGGCCATTTTACCAACTTTAATCTGTCTCTACGGCAAGTTGCCATGAAGCGAAGATCCATTGTGAGGACATGTCCTCGGCAAGCATTTCATGCTGTGGCAAGCAGGACTTGTGGATAAGCCTTAAAAATTTCTGCATGCATCAAATTCTTCCTTCTTGACTCTCCTTAATACAGCCTGAAATGGGTGGCAGTCCCAATTCCCCTCTTCATCTTTGCCATGCCCAACTGCTGCTGTATTCAGTTGCATCACTTACCCACAAAGCACTGCTGCTTGCTGTCCCAAAGAGGAGCGGCTCGCACCCCATTAGCCACCAGGGCCAAGAACGCCTTTTTAATCTGGGACAAGAGACAGAAATCAAATTGACTGGGGCTGTATTCTGTGCCCCACGCCATACTCTGTCTCCCTAGGGCAGGGCCGTCAAACTTGCCACGTTACGTGATGTGTCGCGATGTAGCGCAACTTTTTCCCCATTGCCGGAACTGGGGTGGGCACGGTTTCAGCATGATGCATCCAGCCCACAGGCCGGCAGTTTGACACCCCTGCCCGCGGGAATAACTGATTGAACCTTGCACAATGGACAAGGAAAGATCTACTCCAGGGATTATTCTGCATTTCTCTGCTTTGATAGAGTAAAAGGGAAAGAAGGATCATCTCACTAAAACTGGTGAAGTAGTCACCTCTAACACAACATTCTGGTCAATTCAGGGAATTTTCATGCAGAACAACCAGGAACAGCTATATTCTTGTGAACCAGCTATGCCCTTATTTTACAGCTTTTGCTCACATTAAATTAATCATGTTGTAAATATGCTCAAGTTGATTCTTTGTAGAATAATTTCCAGTGAGCCTGAGATTGTACCAAAGATGGAGGCTATATTTTGTCTCTTTATAACAATGTTCTCACGTGCAAGCTTTCCCTTCCCAATGTGAATGAGGGACAAGTTTTGCAGCAGCATTTAAAAAAAGATGTAACCAAGATGACAGCAAGCCCACCACTTCCTCATCCTAGCCACCTAAACACCACTATAATTTATCTTCGTGGATGTCCTTGTAACTATTCAGAAGCTATAGATCAGTGATGGCGAACCTTTTAGAGACCGAGTGCCCAAACTGCAACCCAAATTCCATTTATTTATCGCTGGGTGCCAGGTGGGCGTGGCCCACTGGGTGGGCGTGACTGTGGTGGTCATGGCAGACTGGGTGGGTGTGGCCAAGGTGGATGTGGTCACCTCGATGTTGTTTGTGGGGAGGGACACCTGTGGGGGCCAGGCAGGTTTGGGGGAGATTCAGGGGATCTGGCAGGTGGGGCAGTGGGCAGGAGGCTCGTCCTGCGGGGTGAGGCGAGGCAAGGCGAGGCAGGGCGGGGGTGCCATTGTTGCAGGGCAAGGTGAGGCAGAGGCCAGGGTGGCTGCTGCCTGACACCATCGGCCCTGCATACAGAGGCCAGTGAGTGCATGGGAGCCGACAGTGTCCGTCAGCAGCCACAGCCTGCCGGCCCCTCGACTGGCAAACTCTGGGGCTCCGCAGCCTGCCACCAGCAGTTCAGAGAAGCCACCTCTGAGCTGGACAGACGGCCGACAGCTGAGGAGGCGATGCAGTGGGTCGTGCCTGGGAAAAGGAGAGCACGCGAGGCCAGGAGGGATGGGACGGGGGGGGAGGGAAACCAGCCATGCTGGAATGTATCTGGACACATGGGACCTCGGCGAGTTAGCGGGTGGCTGGTTGAAGAGGACGGTTGCCATCTCCGGAGCATGGCGCACGTGCCCACAGAGAGGGCTCTGAGTGCCGCCTCTGGCACATGTGCCATAGGTTCCCCACCACTGCTATAGATGGTTCAAAATGCAGTTACTTGTTTGATAATAAGTTATGCTTCATGTACCCATGGAACACCACTATTGCAAGAGCTGCATTGGTTGTTGGGAAGCTTCTGGGTTCAATTCAAGGTGCTGCTTATAACATACAAAGCCCTCCAAATATCTAAGAGGGCACTTGCTTTTGAGTAGAATGCAGCCTTCTGGAAAATGCTGGAGGGTAGAGCAGATCAAGCTTCTGTTTCAAGGGTGTCAACAAGAGAAACCCATAAACATCCCTTCTTTCTTATGGCTCCCCTCCTAGGAACAACCTATGTGCAGAGACAAAGATGACTCCATCCTTGCTGATATTCAGAAGGTGGTCAAGACCTAGCTCTTCCATAAGGCCCTGGGGAATAGAATGGAAGTATGAATATACAGCAGCTATTCCCAAAGTTGAAATGAGGATGAGCCTTTACACTATATGGCATATTTTTAAACCTAATTTATATTAGAGCATTGTTAGCCACTTAAAGAGTCTTTGGACTGAAGCAGCATATAAACTCAAGTTTAAGTAAATAAGATACCAAGATACCAAGCTCCCAGCAGACTCAGACATAAATATAATCACATAGCAATACTCCCTCACTCCCTCCTTTACTACATGGTTCACAAAACATCTGTATTCTCCTTACCTGCAGAGTGGTCTCAAACACTACCAGTTTGGAGCTGGTGGGAATAGCATCATAACAGCGATGACTCCGCATGAATTGCATATAGATCTCAGCATCTGGGCCCAGGAACTCAATATCAGGACCAAATCCAAGAATTTCACAGTCAAGGGAAATGACATCATCATCATCTTCCTGTTTGCCTTGTTCGAGCTTTGTGTCCTCTGATGTTACTCCTGTGCTGGGACCCAACACTAGGCCTTTGTTAAACTGACCTGTAACTTCTGGAATCCGTGTGGTTGCTATGGTACTCCAATCCTTAATCCTACCCTGGGGCATCATGCCATTGCCTGCTCCATCATTGCTGTGAGCCCTGCCCACCTCTTTCGTCTCTGAATGGGTTGACTTGAAATCCAATTCAGCAGCAATGGCATCTGCAGCTGTCACTTTGCCAATGTGTGTTGCAGTCTCAGCATCAGTTGGCTCAGGATCCCGCCTCTCAGTTCTGCCATCTGCTACTACATTTGTCAAAATCAAATTCACTTCTTTGTCACTGGCAGTCAAATCCTTGGCTTCCTGTACAACAACATTGGCTTTCAAAGCAGATTCCTCAATGTCCAGAGATGAGGCGGGGCCTAGTGGGCAAGCATTGTAAATCTAAACATTGAAAGATCTTTGACAAATGAAAATAAGTCATGTTGTCCTTTTGAACCAAGCCAAAGTCCCTCCACCTCATTAAGTTTATAGTTATGATGTTGACTCATATAAAGCTGCAAGCATGCATATGCTGGGCTGAAATTAATTCTGCAAAGAAGCAAGCCTAAACTTGCAGCAATTATAATTATACTGACCATCACTCATTTATATATTCCACCTGACCATACTCACATTAGAGAATAAATACTCACTTCATTTATTATTATGGTTTGTTGCACAGTCAGTCAGATGTTCAGAATGGATGTGGCATTTTTATCTGCCTACCGAGTCCTTCCCAAAGACCTGGGATAGGCAGATATGGATATCTGATAGTGTTGTAGATATTGTTGCAGCATATAAGATGTTTTGAGTAAAGCTGTCTTTTGCAATTGACTGATGATTGTCAATGCCAATGGTGTTCAAACGGTGCTCCAATTATTTTGGGATTGCACCCAAGGTGCCTATTACTATTGCTTTGCTCTATTTTATCATTCTATTTCTACTTGCAGGTCTTTGTATTTTGTTTCTTCTCCAATTCCTTGTCCTCTGTTCTGCTGTCTCCAGGTAATGCTATGATGATTATTATTATTACAAATAACAGAAAACCATAGATGAACTGACATCAATTTAAGGTTATCTGTAGGCATTCTCTTATTATAATAGGACAGGTATGGAATATATTAAGAAAAAATATTTTTACCGAAGGGAAGAAAGTTTATCTAATTGCTTCTAAAAATTGGCAGCGAGAGAACTGTATACTGATGAATACATGTCTATGACACTTGAACAACTTTATTAAGTAATCCTTGGCTTACAACCATTTGTTCAGTGATTATTTGAAGTTATGGTGGCACTGAACAATGATGCTTATGATGGGTCCTCATTGTTCTCGCCATCACAGCATCCCCACAGATGCATGATTGTAATCCAAGTGTTCAGCGCCCAGATCATGATTATGATATTGCAACAAGTTGCGGTTATGTGATCACAATTTCCAATGTTCCCTCCTAGCTTCCCACAAGCAAAGTCAATGCAGAAGCAGCAGAAAATTGAAAGTCACATGAGGTCCTCACGTAACAACCTATACAGTCCTCATTTTATGATGGCAACAGGGATTGCTGGAATTGTCATCACTAAGCAATGTAGTCACATGATGTTGGACTTTATGACATCACTTAGTGGCAGCAATTTCAGTCCCAATTGCTATCGTAAATGGAGGACTAGATGTATAATCTCCATTGAATACCCATTGAGATAGGGCACCATTATTCCTCTTTGACAGAAGGAAAACAAAGGCTGCAAAATATTTGGATTTGGCAATGTTACCCAAGAAACCTAAACTTTTAACAAACCAAGAACCTAAACCTGAACGTGAATTTTGAATCCAGTTAAGGTAAAAAATATCAGTTGATTTGTTTGGAATGGAATGCGATAAGTAGCAACCAACCCAAATTCTCTATACGAAAACTACAAGATTATTTCAGATAGGAGAAAATTAGCATCGGGATATTGTGGAGAACAAGAGAGCAGTATTAAGCTAAATAGAAAACATCCTTGCTACGTGGAGTTGTCACATAGTGCTAAACAGTGGGTACTCTAATATGATTAGCAGTTTTAGAAGACCCCCCCAAAGCAGGCAGTTAGTATCCACTTAATATTCCCTGGCACAAAGACCTTCAATTAGCATCAGCTGAGTTGAAAGTGGACAAATACCACTCACCTGTTTCTTCCTGATGCTGGAGGCCATTGTTCAGTGATGGTATCTGAGGGGCCAGGGAGAAAAGGACAGAGTTAAACAGGGTTTGGTTACATCTGTGCTCAGTGCAGCTTTTAGGATCTGAATGCTACAGAGCTGAACCATATACTGTAAATCTTCACGACGAGAGGAAATCCTGTTTTTTCACCCAGGTCTATGAAACCAATCCAAGTTAAATAGCAATAGGATTTTTTTAAAATCAAAACAAAAGTGACAGCCCTCCTTTATTTTGCAAATAAGCCTTTCGGGTATTTCCTTGCATGGGTCTATTTCCTCCATCACACCACTTCTTGGAAATATTGAACACAGAGGAGAAGGCAGAAGCTTGTATCTTGGACAGATTCATAATAAATCCCCAAGGAGGACATAAGGCCACCCAGACCAAGTTATGTATTCAAATCCTATCACTTAAAGAAAGCTATATGCCACTGATATATATATAAGAGACCCGGAACTTTAGGCTCATGGGGCCTTGAGAAAAGTTCCTTCCTGAAAGGTCTGACCCCAAGGCTCCCTCCAGAAGTAGGCATCATTTTGGGAGTGGCTGGGCATAATGAATTATCTGTCCATAGATCATCTTTGGGAAGGAGAGCCAGCCAGTCCACCCCTCAGCCTCCCTATACAGTAGGGAGATCATACAGTAGTCTTTTCAGAGCATCCACAATTCATTGCAGCCACTCCCAAAATGGCACCTGCTTCCAGGACAGCACAACAGGATCTCTGCGTAAGGAAGATAGAGTTAGCATGATAGAGTTGCTGTTTACCAAAGATGATCCACGGAAAAGCTAAGTGGACCCAGTCATGATGGGGTTGCGGAGAAAGGTGTGGAACCCAGCAGGGTGGGAAACAGGCCTAAGATCTGCAGGGACCCAGCAGCTCAGGATGGGGGGAAAGATAGGTGGAGCCGGGATGCTACACTGTTCCTACAGTCGGTCATAAGGGCAGGCGATTACCAAGGGCCTGAATTTGGTTTACTTGACCATGGGGGTGCTACAGCAGTCGTAACTTTGGGCAAGGGTCACAAGTCTCTTTGTTCAGCACTGTCATAATTTTAAACAGTTGCTGTAATAGGAATGGGATTCAGATGCTAAGTTAACCTGTCTTCATTTAGTCAGCAATGAAATGGTTAAACTAGTAGTTGACCAACCTGCTAGTTCAACCAGTTAAAGTATTGTGATAACAACCAGTTAAATGTGCAGACTTGTAATATATTAAAAGGGATAATTTTGGATATATTTGTCTATTTATAAAAATAATAAAGGTGAGATACAAATAAATAAAAAATAAGGCAAATGTCATGAGGGAGGGTGATTTCATATTATAAAACCATCATTCCCACACACTTGGGTAAGACATTATTTTTCTGAGATAAAGCATGTTTGATGCTACACAATTGCATTGGCTTTGTTTAAAACTGTTTTATTTTTAGTACTGTTAAAGGGTACACAATATTATATTAGATGAGACTGAAATATAAAATTCATGAGTTAAGAAGCACCTGGAATATAAAATTCTTTGACGTACCAAGAACTTCTACTCACTATCCTTGAGCCAGCAGAAAACAGTACCTGCATGAAATTTGCTCTCCCTCTTACTAATACCTATTTTGCCATTATTCCTTGGACTTCTCTCCAAGGAACTGAGTGATAGTACCTAACAGATTTTACACCTTGATGCCATTCTTGTATAGAATTAGAAGGAAACTTCTCCTTTATTTGGTTGATATTGTACAGTTGTTCAAGGTGGTGTACCCTCTTTTTCCTTACAACAATCCTGGGAGGTTGGAACAAGTGTGGAAATGCCCCATTGCTAGGCACATTGATTGGTTGGTTGGATGTATATGGCTTCCCATCTTCAACTGCCACAACAATAAAAACTACCCACTAATGCTCTGCTTCTCCCATCCCAGGCTTTACTGCTTAGTATATATTACATTCCATTAGAGTCAGTTCTTCACCAGCACCAGAAAAGGAGCTTGTAGAAAGAAAAGTAAGAAGAAGATATATCTAGAATTTTTTTTAAAAAAACAAATCAGGCAGGGTTAGAAGGGAAGGAGGAGGAGGAGGAGGATACATCTCCAGAAATAAATACAGAAAGCAGGAAGGCTGTGGGGTGGGGGTAGAAAGGAAAGGGGAAATTTATGTGCACCTAATGAGAAATTTGACACACAGACCACCAGTCAGCATATTAAGCTACAAGGTGTTTCAGTAGCAGCAAAGCCGGCGAGGCCCATTCGGGAAGCAGGGTGGGATTCAGAGAGGAAGTTCGCGCGGTGCAGTTGCTCCCTGTTGTACACAAATCTGTTTCAGAGCTGAACCTTGGCGAGAGATTTGGGGGCTCAGCTGTCAAGTCCTATGGCTATTAACCCTATCTTGGCCTCGCTCTCCGAGCAGCAGAAAGCGGCTGTGGATGGCAATGTTGACGGCAGGAAGCGCCCCGGGCAGGCAGACAGACAGACATTTGGAGTGATCGCTGCGAATCCTTTCTCTGGGCGGGACGGGACCGATCCCGGAGCCGGCGACTTGCCTTTTTTGTGGGACTGTCAGCCACCGCCCGCCAGCGCCTTACCTGCTCCAAGGCCTGGGCCGCTGCCGCTTGCTCCATGTCAGCAGCTTCTATTTGGAGCAGCTGGCCCAGGCGGCTTTAGTATCACGTCCGCTGCGGGCGGGGAGGGGGGAAGAGAGGAGTGACAGCGGCAGTGGTGCCAGGAATCGTCTTCAGCTAGAAGCCATCCTGCCCCGAGTTGAAGGCACCGCAAAGGCCGAGTCTTTTTTTTTTTATTTATTTAACAAAGTTTCTCTGCATTTATAGCTATTAGGCAGACAATCTGCAGGAAATACTCCAGGCACCCCCGGCTGCTGCTGAGAAAGTAGCTTTCGCACCAGCCTGCTTCTATTTTTCTTTTGTACTCATCAGTACGCATTGCATCATCTAGTGATTTTATCAAACATTTAGATAAGCTACATCAGTTGAGTGTTTCCTGTTCTGTGCTCCTATTGAATTGTAGGCACTTTGTTCATGCTATCATTTGCCACCCTGTGCAAGAGAATGGGGGAGGATTTCAGGAAAAGATCTAATTCTGGTGAACTTGAACTCATTCAAAAATGTGTCTTTCGGAATAAAGTTTGATTTCAAAGCCTTTATTGTCATAGTTTGAACACAAGTCTCGGTGTGGCTGTTAAGGATAACTGAAAGGCTATTTTATATGGAATACTGTACCAGCATTGTATAGTGAATATCTGTGAATCTGAACATTTCTGATAATGCATCAAGATTTATGTTAAGCAGATTTTCCCATTCTGTTCTGGCTCAGGACAAATTGGATACGTGTTTTAATTGGAAAATTACCTGGGAAAGTGTAACCTATCTTTATCTACCATCTCATGCAAAACCTTTCTTTGCCCCCCCTCCCAAAGTCTGTAAATTTAAAGAATGGGGTTTTTTTTTCTGCATCTCTTTGCAGAATCTGCTCATTTTACTGAACCTTGTAGGAACTGAAGGAGACATCCTGCAGTTAGTTTCTCCTCAAGTTTCCCCCCTCCTCCAAAAAACCCCCAAAGGCCAAGTTGTATTGTAGTGTTTTAGGAACTAAACCAGTACAGTTCAGAGGGACACTTCCTTGTATATATGGGACAGGCTCAGGAGGAAGGCAAAATAAATACAGGTAATCACATTTTGAAAAGATATAGGGACTCTGAGGGGCAAATAGAGGAGTATCCATTTTATTTTGCCTTCATCCCCAAAGCCTGTTTATGCCATAAAATGACTGACCATTAGGATCAGGCACTTGCATTAAGTTTCTCACCATTTTCTTTCACAATGAATATTCAACTTCTATTATTCTTTCACTCTCTTACATACTCATTTTAAAACAGCAAAACAAATGCTAGTTAACTGGATCAAAATAGATATTTTCATTAGAACTAGCCATGCTAACCAGACTGAAGCTAGTTCACAACTGTCTTCAAAGAACTGCAATTTGTTTTTTTTACCCGTTTGTGACATTTAATAAATGGGGAAAGAATTGCAAAATGCAGAACATTCTTTGGAGAAGAGGTCAATCCAGAAACCAAATGGTTTTATGCCTTGTAATGTCAGATTTTCACATACTGAAACCACCCCAGAAAAATAAAGCTAGTTATGGACGTTTCTGTATGCTACAGTAAACGATTCAGATTTTTGATGATGAGGAATATAAAGCATTATAATATGGCCTTATAGTAAATCAGATCATTGTGCCATACACCCTACATTTTCTTACATATTTTTTTACACCTATTATTAGTCCCACATTGCATGATCAACAACTTTGTAATCTGGCAGTTCTGGGAACTCTACTCCCAACGACTAAAGAACAAAGGCTGAATTAGAAAAGGGAACCTCTGGATATTGCTGAAGATTCCCAGTATCTTTCAACACTATGATTTCCAGAGTTTCTAAAAGCTGCAGTTGAACAATTATGCCCACTGTTGATTGGGAACTTCTCAAAATTTCAACACCTCAGAACTACTGGAACTTTATAGTTGAATTTGGGATTTTGTAGATGCAAACTGGGCTTTCTACCACTGGGCTGAAGGGACAAATTTATCTAGAAATGCACTGCTTGTTTCCAAGATCTCAGCCATGTCAACTATGTAAGAGTTGTAATCACGTAATTCAAACAGCCCAAACTCTTAGAGATAATAGCAATAGAGAATAGAATCTGAGCTGTTAAAACCAAGAAACAAGATAGTTGTACAGGCCAGACAGAATGGGGGAGGAATGCTTGTTTGTTAGTAATTACCTAAGTTACGAGGAAGGGTGGTAGTGGTTGGAAGACCTTAAGATAGCTCAGAGAGCTGTCAATCTGGGGGACTCCTTAGGTCACCCCAAAAGGCTTCTCCCCTTTCACACTTCTACCAAGTTAGCTCTTTTAGGTCATCTGATACAATCAAATAAGTCAGACTAGTTCACAAGTGATCATTGCTGTGGAATTTGAGAGGGTCACTTATATATCAACATCATATAATTCCCAGGAAAGGAGGCTTGGTACCAAAAATTCATTGTAGGGCAATGACCCATTGGCTATTCCTAACAGAAGACATTTGAGCCTTTCTTGTTTATGCATCTGGCAGAGAGAAGAGAGAAGCTGTGGCCAATACATTTCCCTCATCAACGTGGTTATTCAACAAAACAGATTTTAATAAAAAAAACCCAGCATATCTAGTCTCAGCAGCTGTCTAGATTGTTTTGATACATATCAAAGGGCAGGTTAAACATCTTCAAGTCTCACAAAGAGTTGTGATTTCTCTTGGCTTTTTGTGGAGTTGGTACAAACACTACCTCACCCTTATTTAAAGGATAGCAGTAACTCACAGACGAAACTAGTTATCGGCAACATTTATGGAATGCACCTTAAACAGTTGCTATCTCCACTTCTGCCTCCAAGTTGACAAGACAGCAGAACAGAAGAGGGAGAAGCCTTGCAGAGGACCCAAGATGACTACCAGAGATAGAACTGAAGAAGAAATTTTAAATCAAAGGGCTATACAATAAACTCCTCTTGCTGAAGTAATACCAATCATTCTGTAATAGTAAAAAAGAAATCTGAAGGGATTTCAGGAACAGAGTGTAAGAGCATTGTTTTAAGGACAGATTTGGTCAAAAATGCTACTCTGTGAAGCATACCTTTTCTCTAAATTCTATATATTCACCAAAACATTTAATTCAATACGTATTTAATTCCTTTCCTGCTCCTAAAGGTTAATCAGGCCATCTGGGATCATAAATGATCCAGTAATAAAAATTATAATGTCTTGGTTCAATAATGTATGGTTCAGAAATATTACTACTATTAGCTGGAACTATATTTTCCTGGAAAAGTATAACAATACCTAGGGGATATTTCTAAAACAAAGCAGTTTAAAAGGGAGTTTGTTAATCCAATGGAATTAAATCAAGACTACTCATGGACCACAAAGAGTAATCTCACAGGGATGTTGTACACAGGGATCTTTGTATACTTAAACATCCATTACCACAGTGTGATTCATGACAACTGCCTCCATCTATGGAGAAATCAACAATCTGAGAGCTACACTGTAGGAAACACTCATCCCTCATTTGTCAAGATTTTTAATAAGACATTCAGCGTAAGGAAAAATATGGGCTTGAGGATATCATTATTGCTACCTGGGGGAAAAATGATGGAACTTGCTTCATTAAATAAACTGTATGCTAGTCATATTTTTAGCAAGAAAGAAAGTTGAAAAAAAGGCTTCTCTGTTTTGATTAATCCAAGAATCTCTTGGCACCAAAGGTGCCAAATGTCACCCACAAGATTCAGACATGTCAAGCAGAATTTAGCAGCAGCTTAGTGTTCCAGCATACAAGAGAAATCTTAAGTGTCAGGAACTAGAGTGTCATATAGATCAGTGATGACGAACCTTTTAGAGACCGAGTGCCCAAACTGTAACCCAAAACTCACTTATGCATCGTCAGGTGCCGGGTGGGTGTGGCCCACTGAATGGGTGTGGCCCATTGGGTGGGCATGGCTGCAGTGGTAACAGCAGACTGGGTGGGACTAAAAAGTTCAATCAATTCCAACTTTGCAAGATCTTTTTTTTCCCCGCGAGAAGTTGAAATGGACTGATTGATTGAATCTTTTTTTTTGTACACGGTGGCGGAAGCCTAAAGCAAAAAGGTTTTATAAAACCCAGCTGAAGGCCTAGGACTGGGGCGACAGCATGCGTGCCCACAGAGAGGGCTCTGAGTGCCGCCTCTGGCACCCGTGCCATAGGTTCGCCACCAGTGATATAGATCAATGAATTAATCTTTCATGCCCAAAGATCAAGTCAGCAAAAAGCTCTTGTAGGCTGAACAGTGCAAATTTCATATCCAGGCATTTGTATGCCATCATAAAATCAACACAGCCCAGGCCTATGTATTCATCATGGAAATGTACAAAAATACTACTGCCTGATACTATATTTAAAGTGGCAGCAAAGAAAGTACAGCCTTAAAGATGTCTCCAAGAGCAAAAGAAAAAGGGAAACATTGCAATTGATTGGAAATAGTAGTGATTGAGAATGTAGAATCTCAAAATGGGCACCCATATTTAAGTGAGATAGCACTTAGCAATAGCACTTAGACTTACATACCGCTTCACAGTGCTTTACAGCCTTCTCTAAGCGGTTTACAGAGTCAGCATATTGCCCCCAACAACCTGGGTACTCATATGACGTCTCCTTTGAGGGAGACCATGCTGTATATGTTATGTTATGGAAATAACCAGAAAAGAGGATTTTCACACTGATTTCTAGTCCTAAGTCCAAACTAGACTTCTAAGAATGAGATCCTGTTATTGAAGAACCCATCATAAGAACACATAATTTAGACATTGAGGGCAAAACCACAAAGTGAATGGAGCTAACTGGCCTCCTTGTGTTTTTTTTTGGGGGGGGGGGGCAGCATTTGGATGTGTTGTGTGTGTGTTTAAATTAAGCTATCCCAAGGTTTGCTATTCTACAGATTAAGAAAAATATGAAAATTACTTTCAGACACCAAATCCTGTTACTGTATCAAAATATTAAGAAGTGTGAACATATTTTTAAAAAAAGATAAAA